GCCTGACCATAATTTGTTTCCAGATTTTTACCAACAGGAGCTAAAGAATATAGGCTGTATCCCAAGCAATAAATCTTGGAGCCTAAAAACTTACAATATATTACGAAAACTAGACTGAAAAAGGACACCACCATGTAAAAAAGTGTTCTGGTGGCACAGAAGTCCTGGAAGTCCAGACCTCCCCCTGCCCTTAATGAAGTTACATGGGCCTTACAACTAAATCTTCATTTTGCCCAAGCTTGCTCAAAATGGATTTCTATTATTAGCCCCCAAATATCTGAAATAAAAAGTAATGCTACCCTATAAAGCAAAAGTTGTTATTCCCCTCTGGAAAAAAAAAAAAAAGAGGATTAAACTGGCTGACAGTACAATATACTAGGACCCATCAGTTACCTGTTCCATAGACTTTCTCATTAGCTTATACCGTCAAAGTCTATGTTCTACCACATACTAAGGGGCTTTCCGCAAATTAATTGAAACATCACAATAAAGTGTTCCCATTCATACAAGTGTTAAGAAATGGGAGAAGAGTGAAAAAAAATCATGGATCAAGTACAGGGGTTCTCCACAGTTTGGATTAGTTTTTTTACAGATTTCTTCGAGAATTTTATGAATAACTATTAAGATTTGAGTGATTATCATATATCAGACATTTGCTAAATGCTTTACATATATCATCTGTGTAATAACACTGACGCTTCATCATGTTAAATAACCGGTCCCAAGCCACTCACTGATTAAGCCAGGGCAGCTAAGTTCTAAAGAGGCACTCTGACTCACTGCTTTGCAGAGCCCTTACATACATATACATATACATACTCCTTTCCTCGAAATATGACCCTATGTTAAGTGTACCTCATTCTTAGGGAGAGTGAAATAAGACGTGCTGTGTTGAGAGACTATAAAAATAAGGAAACCGGACACAGTACAAAATCAATAAAAATACAGGCATGTGGTCTATACTTGCATATTGTGCTTTTAAAAAGTAACTTGTCTATTATAACAAAAAGAGGGAAAATGATGTCTGTATAAGCTGAAGGGAGACTAGTTGGAGGTGAAAAGAGCACAGACTTTTTCAAAGACACACACAGTATTTGAAATTAAATTTCACCTTTATCTTCAAGTAACAGGGTACAGTTACCAAGCACCACCAGCAGTATTATAAGGATGGAGTAGTATCTGTCTCCTAGCTGCAGAGGAAGTGGCTCCCTCTCCCTCACATCAAGGGATTAGTCATTTACTGCACATGGTAGCAGATGGTGGCCGGCCGTTCAAGGGCCATTTGGTGGATAGACACAGTTCTCTCTTTATACCTGTTGTGACTTACCAGGTAATGAAGTTGGGAAGAAGAAGGAGAGAGACTGATTTTCAGGCAAGAAGACCTAAGAGGCAAGAGTGACAGCTCCTAAGGTAACCAACCTCTTAGGCTGGGCTTTGACCATAAAACAAACCAGGAAAAGATGAAGACAGTGAACTATTCTTTGTAGCACCCACGCTGGAGCTTTTTTCTTACCTGTATAATTCATGTGTTGTGAATACTTTAAAAAAATCTCTCTCACACTTTAATCTTTATTCTCTAGCCCTGGAGATTCACCAAGTAAAATGTGCTTAGCACTTTAAAGTATTAATTAACATTGTTATAATGTGATTTTTCAAAAATACAAATAAAGATACAGCTGATCCTGATCTCCTTTCTCCGAAACAGACTGCTACTGTTCAAAGTGAGATGGTGGGCTTTAAGTGTACATATGAAAAACAGAGTGCCATTCCTACAAACCAAAGTTTACTATGGGAATGATTCTGACACATCTTCTAAGATTATCAATAAATTCTAACCTGTACAACTAATTCTCTTAAAACATTTAAATGATAAACTTAACTAAAATGTCTTTTATGTTGGTAAGATTCACACATACAAATGTTAACAATACATATCAAAGCTAGTTTTCACTTAAATTTTAGAATTCACATTAAACGAACTTAAAGCTTCAGGCTATGCAGTCATTGATAACTCCTGAATGAATCAACTGTCAAAATTTTGCCACGTTACATCAAAGGTCCTTTTCAAGCAACCAAAGTACCAGGCATAAACTGCCCTACCAATTCCTGACATAACTGTAATGTTTTACTTCTATAAAAGCAAACCAGTCATCAATGGCAAAATCTTGCTCATTTAAGACTGTCTGGTTGAAAAGAATGATAAAGATTGGTTCCTTTGTCTTTCTCTCCCTTTGTATATATTCTACAAATAATTCTATTTTAATTACTTTTTATAAAAAAGGGAGCATTTGAAAGCAAATTTTGGGGTTGTAACAGACTGAGGAAGGCGGTTGAATAAAGGGAAAAAATAGGAAAAGACCACAACATGATAAAAGTTTTAGCAAAGTCCCTTAGTAATTTTGTACTAGTTAAATATAGCAGCCCATTTTCTGAAATAAAATAACAATCATTCCACCTCATAACCTATTTTGACCATACTTGATTACCTCTTCTTGAGTAATTACTCAAATTACTTGAGTAATACAGAATGTGAAAAAATGGGAAATGTAAGATTTTTTTCCTTTACCTTTTATCCCATGGATGGGTTATTTAGAAACAAGAAAATATAGCCAAAGTGGTAAATTTCTTTGAAACACAGGCAAATATTTGGAAATAATCGCCTTTCCACTTCATGAATATATGAAGCAACCATGACTGACATTTAAATCAACTGTTTCCTTTGATGTTTGCCTAGGTTCTGAATCATCCAAGCAAATTATACCAGTCTTTTGAATGCTTTCTAGCCCCTCCTAAAGAAGAGTTCTGAGTCCAGATTCCTCATGTGCTTTTTAACTCATCCTTAAAAAGCTTTTTAACAGCTCTACACCATTACCACTAAGATCAATTCTGTTGTCTGGCTTAAAATAACAAAATATTGAATTGCTTAGGTTTATGGATTAAGCCAGTTTTAATCACTACATGATACAAAATGGAACTGACAAAATTTGACTTAGAATATTTTTTTCAGCTCTTTAAAGTTCCGAACTAAAATTGTGAAGCACAGATTAATCTTTATTACTATAAAGGTATAAGAATTCATTTTTTTCATGACATTATATACTCCAAATGCTTAAAGACTGGCATATGTCTTATTTACTTATTTTTTTGTTCTGAAGTACAGCAGACTGTACACGTAACACCTTTTAATGATAACATACCAAACTGGTTTATCCATTCATTCAAAAATTTTCAGTGACCACTCTTGCTAGGTGCTATGAAATATACTGGTAAACAGACTATCCCTCCTCTCATGGAACTAAGGAGAATATAATAGACAAAAACTTAACATACAGTTACAAACTGTGTTACATAGAAAGAAAGCAACGAATGGGGTACAGCAGCTAAAGACAGCTGACTGGGGACCAGGAAAAGCCATTTTGAAGAGGGAACATTAGGCCCGGACTTGACAGAAAAAGGAGTCAGTCTCAGAATGCACACACCAGAGAGTGGGAATGAGGTGAAAAGCCTTGAAATAGAGAAAAGCCAGCACATCTAAGAACAAAAGCAGCTAACACAGCTATAGACACCATGACGGGGCAGTGTAAGACATGAACAAAGCACCATATGTAGGTGGCCTTGCTGGCCAGGGCAAGAAGTCTGGATTTTCTTCTGGTGTAACAGGAAGCCAACGAAGAGTGTTAAATAGGAGGCTGACATAAACTGATTCATATTTTGAAAAGTTCATCATGGTTACTGTGGTAATACATTGGAGAAAAATGGTAAAAGAGGCCATGAAGAAACCAGTTAGGAAGCTACTGTAATATTCTAAGCTAAAAATGATGGTGACCTGGCTTGAGGGTCGTAGCAGTAGAGATGGAACAAGAGTCAGATATTTCTGTATAGAAATGATAGGCTTATTTAGGAACAGACACTGAGAATGAAGGAAGATGACTCCCTGGCTTCTGACTTACTCAACAAGGTATAGAGTGTTGCCATTTTTTACTGAGACGGAAAAAACAGGGAAGAACAGGCAAATGAAGAGAGTATCAATCAACAGTTCTGCTTTAGACCTTTAAAATTTAAAGATGTCTACTGAGATAGCCCAGCAGAAATGTCAAGCAGGTGGGTAGTGGAGACAGCAAACAGGATAATGCTAGAAAAATAACTAAGAAATATTAAGCATACAGACACAAGATTAGATCAATCACCTAGTAATGAGCAATTTTTAAACTTGGTGTGCATACTTAATGATGATGTAGATTTGAGTCCACCACCCCACCCCAATTTTGACTTAGCATGCCTGGGGGAAAGGCACAGGAATGCCTATTTCTCAGGAAGTCCATGGGTGATGCTGATGGGGCTGACTCTCATACTACACTCTGAGGAGGACTGACGGATGAAAACAGCCCAGACCTGAGAACTGGGAAATTCCAACATTAAACCTTGAGGAAAGGAAGACAAGTCTGCAAAAGCCACTCAACAGGAACAAGAAGATAGGGAAGCGACAGTGCAGGAAGGGAATGGTAAACTGTGCTGAGTATCTCTTGAGAGCAGAGAAAAAAGTGACTAATGGATGTAACAATGAAATCACTGGTTATCTTTACAGGAAAGGCAGACACAATTTAGGGCACATTATAGAGTAGGAAAGACACGAGGAACAGGATGACATGCTTCTGAAGGGGAGTAAATAAAAGGTACAGTAGCTGGGGGAGGACAGAAGATATGTACGATGAAATTCAGTACCCATTTTTCTGATATTTTTGATCCAGTATCTGTGGTGTCTTATCGAAGTAACTATTGAATTCTAATTCATATAATAAAGTTCTTTTTAAAAAATACCTTTCATTTCAAAGATTAAATATCCTACCTATGGCCACATAGAATTTCTCAGTATTGAATATATATATATATATAAAATACCACTCTCCCCAAAATAACATAGAGAACTAAAATTTAAAGTGTTTCCTCTCTCCATAAAAAAGTTATAACCGCTTCATCCTCTAGCTCTTATTGTTATTTACCCTTGCAAGATCCTCTATTTCAGAACTGAAGTTTGTTTCTCCTTCCATCATTTCTTCCTCTTCTAATGTGCGTTCATCATCAAAATCATGAACCAGCATGTCAGCTGATGGATCAAATTCATGGTCATCTGATGTTGCTGAACCTCCTGGTAAAGAATATTTTGAACAGTTTGGTAAACCAAATTATGTGTACCTTATTAATATTAATGTATATGTTATTTGAAACTGGATATAAGTCAAGTAAAAGTATGAGGGAAAAGCTATGCACAGCAAATTTTATTTCCTGTTTTCTAAAATTCCTGCCCTTACTTATCACCCCCAACAAAACATCTTTAAGGATTCTTTTTACCCTGTTTTACTTCTATATATTTACAGTTGCAACTATAAAATGAGGGCAGAGTGTCTGAAGAGTACTGTAATCTTCCAAAGCTTCAGTTGTAAATAATGTGGTCATATCAAATAAAAATGATCTTCTGTGTGAAAAAAAAAATCACAATTCTTAATTACTTGACTAATATTTAATAGACCCAATAAGTATGAATATATAGTATGAAATATACCATCATCTGAATATATAGTCTAGGGAAAAATAAAAAATAAAAAACTGAACTCAAATATTATTCTACTAGCACATCCACAAAAGTATATTTTAATATGAAGATAGCTGTCCTTAACTTAGTTGAAGTAACCCAAAGACAGAGTATAAACAGCAAAGTTTATTAAAATTGCATACAAAAGTCTTATGAAAGGTATTAAAAATAATCCAGTAGGTAACTGTTGTATAACTAATCTATTTTTAGCCTTGTGGCTGGGGAATATTGCTGAACTCAATACGGTCAAAACTTGTAACAGCAGATTGCAAATACTGGGCATATAATGAGTATATTCTATAAACTATCCCCACTATGCCAAACCTGGACAAAAGATTGTTTGCAAGAGACTGTTAACTAATAAATGAGTTATTTAAACAAACAAAAAAATCAATTAGCAATTTACTTTTACCAGTTTAAAGTGTTAAATGTTATATTAATAGATATACCTACTCTTCTACTTCATTCTTTGAAGAAAACCAATAAGTAAAACAAAGAAATACAGATGCTGATTTCTTGGAAAATCAGACAATTAAGAATAAGGGGGCACCTGAGACTCCAGGGTGGTTGTTACCTCCCGATATTTTTAGCATTAAGAACCATTTTTTGAGTGTTTACTCGGTGCCAAATACTATGCTCAAACACTTCACATATATTATCTCACTTAATCTTCCAACAATCCTAAGAAGTAAAAATAAAAACTTGAAGTTCAAAGAGTTTAAGTAGCATATTTAAACTCGCAGAGCCAGTAGGTGCCAAGAATGGAATTTTAATTCTGGATCTGCTAATTCCAATGCCTGTGCTTTTTCTGCTCTCTAAGGATCCTGTTTAGTCAAGAGTTTCAGAAGCAGTAGATATTCTGCCTCAAAGAATACTTGAAGAGAACCTATGGTTTACTAAGATGAGTAAAAAGCAAGCTAGGTCAGAGGGCAAAGCACTTAGAAGTCACTGTGCTCTTGGAGGAACATAACAAAATATTGCTATTAAATATAAAATAACGAAATATATAATTGCTAAATCAGCTAGTCTATCTTGTACAGTACACATTAGTTACCAAAGTCTTAGAGCAAATTATAAAGTTAAAAAAACATCTAGAAAAGTATATTATCTTAACTTCTTCTAGAAAAGAAGAATAACGTGGTACAATTTTAGAAAGGAATCTTAGAACTGGCTGAAGGACTAGACACAGGGTTCCCTAAGAGCAGTTTGAGAATTACTAATTTAGTTATAGCTTTTTTGTCCCATTCATTATCCCTTGTTTCTCAGTTTTCAATAGAAAACAGTCCCAAAACTTTTCACTTCACACAGCAATCTTCTAGGATGCTTAGTCAGTAATTATGTATTCCTACAGATGTTGCTATACTTTTCTCCCTTGCTGGCAGAAGGATCCTAAAAACCCTCATGTTACCATTTTGCATATTATTATCCTAATCATAATATAATTCCTACTGGATGCAAATATTGTTAAAAATAATTATGCTTAATTCCTAACTACTTACAATCTTGTACCAACTTAAAAATCAAGCTCACATGAGAAAACAGTACCAAATCACAAGTATTATATATATATACATACACACACACTCTTGAAGTCCCCCATTTTTGTTCATTATTTGCAAAGCCAATTATATTTAAAGCTTTGTTACTTTAACCCTACCATTATATGAAATTACAAAGTGTGGGTGAAGTGAACCTTTTCTCTCAATACTCTTAAATTCCTTTCCCCACACATACATTGCACTGTTCTCTATAAACTTTCAATTTCAGTTTTTTTTCTTGCCTTAATCTTGACTTCTTTGTTTCAGTTGACTTCTTTTTACCTTGTTTTTCAAGACCAACTAACCATCCTTCCTGTTAATTACTAAGGCCCATCATTAGGTTATCTCCGAGGGAAAAGAATCCCAAAAGTAAATTATTAGGGCTAAGGAGTGTGGTGCTTTATGTAAATATTTTGCTTCAGAATTAATGCAAATATCACTGCTTTATCATAGAATTCCATCCTACTGCAAAATTACTAAAAAAGTACCTTACCTCTTTGCAATGACTCAGAAGATAAATTCAGTTTAATATATCATGTGGACTTGTTTAATCATTCTATTACCTTCCTACCCTAAAACCTCACCTTTAACAGCTACTAGATGTAATTAGTTTATACTGGTGGAAGCAACAAACTATTGAGCCTGGGTAACACGACTATTATTATTAGCATCAATTCCCTCATAGCTCAGTTGGTAAAGAATCTGCCTGCAATGCAGGAGACCCCGGTTTGATTCCTGGGTTGGGAAGATGACCTGGAGAAGGGAAAGGCTACCCACACCAATATTTTGGCCTGGAGAATTCCATGGACTGCATAGTCCATGGGGTCATAAAGAGTTGGACACGACTGAGTGATCTTCACTTCAACTCCAAAGTGAAAGATGTTACAAACGACACAGCATTTCACCAATGGACCAAATTTTTTTACATTAAGTTTCTATTTCAAATTTCTCCACCAATTTTTTAAATTGCCTACATATTAGCACTACTTGTAAGAACAATAAACGTTTCTGTGGACAGAAGCCTGATGCGACAAATGCTGTCTACCTCAAAAGATCTTCCTTACTCTGAAAACAAAAAATATTCATTCTATTTGTATTAATACAAGCGTTCAGCAAGTAATAAAAGCTATCAAAGACATTTGTTTTCTCCCAGCTCCACTATTCTTCCAGTTCACCCTAAGCTGTTTTAAATGCAATGGAAACTGAGAAAGCCACTTATTCATATCACTTTTAGAGTAATTATTTTTACGTACCTATGTATCACCTAACGAAAGTTTTGAAAGTTCACAGAAAAATGATCTATTTGCAAAGTCACAACACTACAAAAACTAGAACTTATCTTTTCAATGAAAATGGTTTCTGTATTTGAAAGAAAAAAAAATATAAAGGCACAATACCATATCCTAAAAAGGATATGGTAATTTGATTTATCTGAGGTCATATTATTTCCAATTTCTTCCAACCTACTTCCATCTAGAACATATTTATAAACAAGAAAAAAAAATCCTCGAGTTTCAGAAATGTCACAAAGCCTAATAATGTACTTCACTTCCAAGAATATCAGGAAGACACTTTCAGCTAAAATAAATATGACCAAATCAACTGTCAATTTGTGGTACAGGGAGCTGGTGACGACAGGGAAGCCTGGCGTGCTGCAGTCCACAGAGCCGCAAAGAGTCAGATGCGACCGAGTGACTGACTGGACTGAACCATTTAGAAGGGATCCAGAGTTATTCTAACTCAACTCCTACCTGACACAGAGCGCAATGATTTGTGTTCAAGAAAAGGACCCTGAACAACTAAAAAAGCCTTATTTTCAGTATTTTCCAAAACTTCCTAAAATGTAAAACACAAAAAAGTGCTTCAATCATCTGATAAGGTCTGTAATATAGCATTACTAAATATGCAATGGAGATGTTTTCAAATAAAATACCATGCCTCAGGAGAGTTCTCTCTCACTCTTCCTAAGCTACTTTAGGCTCTTCCTTCACCTGCCCACCCCACTGCAGAGGGCAGTCTCCGCTCTCAGTAAAATCCCTGGACATTGAGGCAGGAAGACCAACACATACCAAATTCTTTCCTGACTGCTATTTAGCTTCTACCAATTGCTGACACACAGGAATGCTGGACCCAGTGGTATCAGAACCTTTGACTGAGCATAAAAAACTTAAATCCAGATTTTAAATAAAATATTCTAATTTTTTAAGCTCACTATACTAACTGAACAAAAAACATTAATATTAATGCCCAGATTTGGCCCAAACATCATACATTTGCAACCTCAAAGTTAAAGAAAAAAATGAAATCTATATTGTATTTGGAGGAGACTACAAGGTCAGATACATGGTCAGAGGAAAAAACCTGATTCTAATAAAATTTTAAAATAACTTCCTTAATTTACAATACTCCTTTGTTGAACCTTTTATTTTACCTTTCCCTCTCTCATTAAACGCATTAACAATATTTTTCTCAAATAAAATACTTTGAATTTTCTATATAAGCAAATACGTCTAAGCAGTTAAAGACTCCTTTTTAAAAATACACTTCAAATCAAACAGCAAATAAAAACTACACAAAATACATGTGGCAATTCATTAAAAAAAAAGGAGAGAGAGAGAAGAAACCCACAAAAAGTCATGAGGTTGAACTCACAGCAGCCTCACCTGTACTTTCATGGGCAGTCAAATATTTCATCCATTTCTTTTTCCCCAGAGAAAAGAAGCATTCAGAAGAAAAGTCAGTCAGATGATAGTCTAACTCCTCTAACCTTTATGTAACTAATAGGTCAAATGCTAGCTAAATAAAGATTATAAAAAATATACAAAATACTTACCTGGACTTGAAGACTCAACAGATGGCTGGGGGGCGGGGAGGGGGGAGAAAAGAAGAAAAATTAGCATCTCTGTGTAGTAAATCTTCATGAACATTACAGAATTATTCAACAACTGATATGACACCAAAAACTACAGTTACATTTTAACGTCTGAACTAAGACAAACTAAAACTTCTGCATAATCCTTCCTCTGACATTATGTTTATTTAAACATAGAGAAAAATCTAAAACATTCCTGAATCTAGAAATAAAAACAGTAATGTGTAACTGATTTCAAAGGCAAATATGTATCTTATAATATATGTCATTCAAGAGATAGGATTTTGGGCTTCCCAGGTGGCACTAGTGGTAAAGAACCTGCCTGCTAAGGCAGGAGACATTGAGAGACATGGGTTCAATTCCTGGGTTGGGTAGATTCTCTGGAGGAGGGCATGGCAACCCACTCCAATATTCTTGCCTGGAGAATCCCATGGACAGAGGAGCCTGGTGGGCTACAGTTCACAGGGTCACAAAGGGTCAGACACGACTGAAGTGTTAGCACGCACACAAACATATGATTTCAGATCTCTGAATTCTCTAAAATATTCGCTCCCATCAATACAGGGAAAATTAAACCCAAGGTCTGCTATCAAGCTGCTCTCTGGCTTAAAATGAGTGTGAGAAGGGAGGCAGAAATAATTTAAGATGTTATTTAGAATAAAAACTATATTGTAAGAAAGCAGAAGGAAAAATTTAAATGTTACTTAAGTACAAACATTCCTTTACCTTTACTAACACACAACATATTTTTAAAGTTAGCAATCCTGCAAGGTCAATAAAGGAAGGTTATCTAATAGGAGATCACAAACACTTTCCTATTATAGTACTCCTACTGTACCATTCTACCTCTTATAAATTTAACCACAAACATCTGGAAAATTTAAAGATAAAACTATTAGCAAATTATTTTAGTGTTATCACCACTGGATAGTTTGTGGCTGTGTTTTATTCAGTTAATTCAACAGTTATAAACAAGTCATCTAGAAACAACTCCTATAAGATAAATTCAAGAACACAAATTCAAAAGATGCCTCAAATGACAAAATCTTTATAACTAAAACCTTGCCTATTCATTTCAAGATGTCTATTCAGGCTCATCAGAAGTCAGAGATGCTGGAAGTTCAAAAGTACTAGCAAAAAGATACGGATATTCTAGTATTTTCCTTCTTTCTACTAAAATATGGAGCAGAAAGGGGGGAACAAAATTAAAGAGCCAAAAAGTGCCCAATTTTTCAAAAGCTAGGCCTCTTAAGATAAATTCTTATGAGATATTAAAAATTCCATTTTGAAAACAGTCTGCATCACGCTATTGCCGTAAGTGTGACATTCTAGTCTACATGGTGACTTACATTGTTTTAAGGCATACTTTCCCAAGGTTCCTACTTGTTCCTTTTAATTCTTACAAGAGAATGGTTCTTGTCTATAGCATTGGCTCATTTTAACAAAAGACCATTATTCAGTATTATATATTTTCAAGTGTCATACCACCATCTCAAACTGCCACAGTCAAAACAGTGCTACTTTTAAATTTGGTTCCTTTAATGGGAAGCTGTGGAGTAGGGTAAAAAGAGAATGTAACCATAGAAAGAGTTTTTTTAGCTCGCTTAACATCTTTTGAAGTTGAAGAAGAGAATATTAGAGGATGAGGTGGCTGGATGGTATCACCAATACAATGGATATGAACTTGGCCAAACTCTGGGAGATGGTGAGGGACAGGGAGGACAGGTGTGCTTCGGTTCATGGGGTCGCAAACAGTCGGACATGACTGGGAAACTGAACATCTTTTGAACAGTTCTAGCTTACTTCTAGCTCAAAATGGATTAAACCACCACACATATTACACAGCACATCAACATTTAAAAATATTAATTCACTTTCACTTCAAACTTTATTTCCCAAGTTTAAGCACAACCTCTATCCAAGGCTACAGTAAAGTTAATGATTATCTTCATCTGGTCCCAGGTTCACTATACACAGAGTGGCCTTACAATGGCCATTTTTCCTTTCTTGGAAACTTCTGAAATAGGTTTGAAAGGCTTAAACAAGAGAAACCAGCACGTCTTTCAAACTAGCTTAAAAGAAATAGCTCTTTGAGCATTTGGTCCTTTTTGAACACTCCAATAATTATTCCATTTAACAGTCTTCTGATAAAAAATAAGTTATTATACTTAAGCATAAAAGGTACACTTTTGCTGATGTTATTAGATATTGGCAATAATAGACTGAATTGCAACTGGGGTCTGCATAGTTTGTAAAACTCCTCGAACTGTGCTAAATGCAAATAAATACCATACTGAGTTTTGTTTTATTGGTAAACAGTTACCACTGCAATGCTCTGAAAAAGGTCTAAAATATGTTCCATTCATTAAGATGCCAAATGTTAAACGACTGATAGCATTTATACGTATAGCTGGCATAAACCAGAACACCCAGTGCTCAAAGATAGCACTAATCACAGTATGTAAGGCACACGAGGAGGTTTTAAGAAACATGATGTGATGGATGGTATACCTGGATGAGGACTGGGGGAGGGGAAGCAGGAATGGTTTGCCTACAGACATGTATTTTAGTATTCTATGTTCAAAATAAAATTGTACTATATTGGGTCATAAGGACAGGAGTGAGACTGGTGAGAGACAGAGAAGGAGAGAAAGAGGGAAAGAGGGGAGGGAGGGAGGGAGAGAGAGTGTGTCTATGTGCGCGCACATGCATGCACACACACTCAGTCACTAAGTCGTGTCTGAGTCTTTTGCAACCCCATGGACTATAGCCGCCAGGTTTCTTGATCCATGGGATTTCCCAGACAAGAATATGGCAGTGGGTTGCCATTTCCTCCTCCAGAGGATTTTCCCAACCCAGGGAACGAACTTGCATCTCCTTTCCTTGGCAGGCAGGTTCTTTACCACTGAGCCACCAGGGAAGTCCATTATATCCAATTAAATAAAAGATCAGCTTCTGGAAAACAGGCATTTGAAAATAGTTATACTGTAAGCATTACTTTGGCCCACCAACAAACAAACTGATCATCTTTCATTATGAGTTTAGTATATAAATACATATAAATGTGAGTTTAGTATAATACTGGAAATTTTAGTATGAGGGCAATTTTAATTTAGATATTTAAAAGAATAGCAGAACCAGCTTAAGTTCATATAGTACTACATATTTCCAAATGCATAAATTTACTTGATCATGAACCTGGCAATAAAACCTACCCCATCTACCTCATTTTATAGATTAGCAAACCCAGAGAGATAAAACTGACTTAATAAAGGTTCCACAATAGGTGGTGAAGGTAAAGTCTAGGACCTAATTCCTTCTATATTTCCAAAAGAAACAACTATTAAATATCTAAAAAAAACACAAAAACTTCTCTTTATCTCTCTCCTCCTTTCCCTTTTTTTTAAAAAATGGTTTTCATCTAGTCAAAGCATGTTTAAAATGTGACCGCAAGTTGTCATTTGTCATGTCAGACTATTATCTATGTCCCATTAGGAACTGGTATCTTAACAATACCCTCCAGAAAACCTGCAACATCAACCATTAACGATTACAGTAAATTAGAAAGGACGGGGAAAGACTACAACTAAAGCTAAACAGGTACTCATTTGTAACAATACTTATTTTCATAAAAACCTCAAATTATAAATGCAATCAGTAAAAACTTTACATTGGGGATCAAAATATACTTAAAACACACTCATATATTACTGATAGAAATTATGAGTTAAAGCATTCTGCAGATCATCTCGCCAACATGAACTTACCCTACTGATATAACTAAAAAAGCACATAAAGATAGGTGTATCCCAGTTATTACTACAGAGTTGTCTATAGCAAAAAGTTGGGAAAAAATTAAAGTCCATTATTTAATTAGTTAGAAATGAAACATAGTTTTTCCAAGCAAAGGAAATTACTAATTCACTAAAAAGAATGAGACAGTTCTGCTTGTGCTGACTGAGAGAAAGAATGCTAAACACATGTGCGTGTGTATGTGTCTATAAACAGATAGCTATATTAGGAGTAAAAGAAAAGTGTGGAGGAAGGGGGGAAATGGGCTGGCACACACATAAAAAATTTTTCCCTAAAGGATACACAAAAATCTGCTAACAAGTTACCTCTACAGCATGGTTTGGGGAAAGGAGGTTTTTCACTTTATGCCTTTCGGTACTACTGAAATTTTTTAACCACTTGCAAGCACTATCCTTTGTTTTTTAAACAGAAAGTCAGTGGAGATAATACAGTGGAATTATGAGCCATTTTCATTTTCTCCTCTTACTTTTAGATTTTCAAGAAAACTTAGTATTTGCCATTATTTTTTTAAAAACAAGTTTATATAATTTTGAAAAATAACGTATTTTTCTTTTAGGTACATACATAATTGCTTTATCTGAGATGGAAAACAGCAGAGAGGGTATGAATCAGCTAAATCAAAGAATCAGAATGAACTGTGTTAACTTTTATAGCAACTTTTCTATCTACACTCATACATTTGATTTAGTTGATCAAGCTACTGATAGTTGTAACAAATATTCAGTGCCTCCAATTGGTTCAAGTGTTTCTCTTCTGTAATTTCTAGACCATGATAAGAAATATCCCATATACCAAAAAACCTGTAAATTGAGAGACAAAAGATAAACTAGAATATCACTATTACTAAAACATAAATAAATAAGGTAGTAAAAACACGAAGTAATTAGATTCTTTTATCCTGGAAAATCAAAAACACATTTGCAGTGAGTATAACTGTCTTAACTAATTGTTTCCCACAAATGAATTCCACCACTATTTAAGTATTAATATCACTTAGTAATGCAGATACCAGATCCTCACAGTGATAGGGATGAAGATAGAAAGGAGTTGGGGCCCTATTCCAGGGTGGAGAGAGGGCAGGGAGACTGACACAGTCACAGTCAAGGGCCCACCATCCCTCTTCCTTCACACAAAATTAAATCACTTAACTGTTGGTTAAGAAAGTTCTGGAGT